ACGGTTTTTTTTCTTGTAAGAAAAAATGCCGAGAAAGAAAAAAATATAAGTGTTCATTGCTTACTTATTTTTTTTTTTATTTATCATATAAATCAGCCAATATGTACAACAGAATATAAATGTTATAAAAATGTGTTTAGAGAAATCTTTTTATAATTTACATCAGTATAAAATATATTTAAAAATTACAACATAAGTATGTTATAACATTACTACAAAAATTGCCATCACTTGACAAGACACCAGAAGTGTTGAAATAAAATGGCTATTTTTGTAGTGATATTACAACATACTTAGGTTATAATTTTTAAATAAATATTATTCGCTCTATTCTATATTGAACACTTTTAAAAATAGTGTTTTGGTTACTGGAAGTTTATTCCATCTATACCAACATTGTATTCGGTGAGTATAAGGTATGTTAAAATATATACTGACACTTAAGACACAAAAATGCGCAAACATTCGATCGTCATCTTCGTAGGCGAGAATCACCTTCCGTGGTGTGCTTTTCACTGTGACTTAATTGTCAGTGGTCAGTACAAACGATACAGAGGGATCGTATCAGAACAATACTGAAAACCAGAAATATCGTCCCTATCCGACTAGAAATGTTGACTGATGGTCGGAGCCAGTCGGCAGCTTGTCTGCATAGACACTGTTCAAAGTCACAAAAGTAATTTTGGTCCAGCAGGTAAAGGAACGCCGTCGAAGATGTCAAGTGCAAAAATCCTTCCTGTCATGTTTGTATCCACATGTCGTTCTAATCAGCCCTTCGAGAAACCATCTACCATGAAGGAAACCAGTGGACTTCATCTGAAAAGACGGTCTACTCAACGACGACGTTATATCACTAAAATACAATATTACCAAAGGGTTATTATTCTGGGTTATGGTTTACATTTTTTGCTTCATGTTCATATGACAACTGCATCAAAATGTTCAAAATACTTCTAAAAAAAAAATGTATATAAAAATTTTAAAAAATGAAGCAAATGCGTATATAAAACTTCTAATCCTGGTTTAAATGGTTACATCGATAAAATTATAAACTCCTCATAATTCGGTTCAATCCTTACTGACCACAGGGCTCCCAATGGGGTGTTACTACTCACATTGATAATTCCCGTCGTAGTTTAACGGACACAAAATATGAGCTACAATCGTTACGATAAAAAGAAAAAGCTTATTCTAAAAGTAAACACTCATAAAATGCGCAATAATTAAAATATATAAGAGAGCGTTTTAAAAAAATAAAATAAGAGATACTGCGAGTAATATCACAATCATAATTTAATTGATTTCCTTGAATCGAAATGAAAAAAAAAAATCTGTTAGGCTTTTAATAGCAACAAAATGTACCCCAGAAACTTTACTTACAAGAGTTTACATAAAATTATCTATAACAAAAGTCAGTAGTCAAAAGTTATCCGTTGTTATTTTAAAAAAAAAAAAAAAAAAAAAAAAAGTAAAAAAAGAGACTTAGATAATAATAACTGTATTGGTAGATTTTACAGCTTTAGTTCACGGACAAAACATTGGACATCTTTGCGCTAGAGTCCACCAGAAACACCAAAAAAATAATTTCATTTAGGACCTAGTTTCTGTTCCTCCCAAGGCAACATACACCATTGACAACTATATTATAAATTCGAAAAAAATAAATGCATCAAGAAAGAAAATGTGACAATTAGTCTCACCGACAAAAACAACATCTATGTCAAATTGAGCCATAACGACTGCGTATCAAAACTTACAAACGATTAAAAAAAAAAAAAAAAAAAAAAAAATACATAGAAACCCTACCGAAAAACTTGAAAAAATATCATTGGCAAATACAAGCCACATATCTATGAAAAAATAAAATCCCACAAACTTGAAGATCCACTAAAAATACAAGAATACAAGAAACATTCGACATTCATTGACCAAACAGTTAGCGTTATTGTCTGTTGAAATCTTGTATTGAAATCTTTCTCTTAAACATTTTTTTCACGAAAATAAGGTTTTCAAGTCCACTGCTATCGTTATTTCTGGTATTGATGGGAATTTCCTAATCTTTAAGCTTAGGTGAAAAATCAACATCGTTATTATACAATTATTTTCCGTTTTAGTTACACGAGCTATCCATTTTAGTTGTTGCTGCTGCCGGAAATTTCCGAAAGATGGGGGTTTTATTTGCTAAAGTCCTTTGTTCGTCATTCTATAGCGTTAGTTTAGAAGATTTGATGAAGGGTTATCATACCGACTAAGTTAAAATATTGAGAACAATCTGAAAATATCTCGTAACTTTACATATCTGCTTGACGCTATTCTTGTGAGGAAATGGATGTAGCTGATAGTTTAGATATTTCTGAACAAGTTGAGTGCCATGTATGTCATCCATATGAGAGTCTAGATCTGACGAGGCTAGTTAAGAGCAAGACTCGAATACTTAGGTTAATATTTTCATGTCTTGAGGTGCTAGACAAAACTGCCTGCTAACGCAGTTTGTTTCATAATAATTTCAATAGATTTAATAATTTGGCACATCCCTACGACCGTCTATCAAATTTCCAAAAATTATTAAAACTTACTCTCTAAATATAGCAGAAACTCGACATTTAAAATTTCAAAAGAAACAAATCAAATAGACGTCATAGTCTCACAGAATTTATTCACCAATGGACCTACGTTGAGAAAATATATTTTATAAAAATTCGGACTATAAGTTAAAACTATTGAGAACAATCTGAAAAGAATTCATATGTTCTTAACATCAATAACAGGAACCCCTTTTTAGACATGCTAATCGAGTCGAATGATAACTTTTAAACTTTCTTTTATATATTTAAAAAGAAAATAAACCAAACTTAAACCCATGTCTCAGTCAGTTATGTGCCATGAGTGATACACGCTTAGGCGATCATGTATCTTTCGATAACCCCCTGTGTCGCATTCTCACCTTTCTTGGATTGTCAGTCAGTCAATTATATGCCATGCGTGATACACGCTTAAGCGATCATGTATCTTTCGATACATAATCGATTTTTTCCCCGCAGTAGGTTGCCATTTCTTTTTGCGGTAGACCAGTTGTCACCAAAGGATATAGAATCCTGTCTGACCTGCTATTTACCCATAGCTGCGGGGGGGGGGATTCATATCTTTCCCAAGGGTATTAGCACGTAAGTGAATAATGGATTCCACCGGAATTTGAACTCGGCTCCTCCGATTCCTCAATCCGAACCGCTATCCATTACTCCATCGTATCATAGATAAAACTTAATATAGCCCATTTAATATCCTCTACACAGATGCTATTCTAGAACGAGTTTAATTTCTTTTACCATGAAATTATCTACAAATGGCCATGAATTTTTATCGAAAACGGAGTGTTTTCCTGATGCCTTCTCCAGTTTGATTTTCAGAGTTTTGTTTTTTTTGGGGTTTTGTTTTTTTTTTTTTTTTTTTTTTTACTAGTGTTCACCCAATACAAGGTACAATAACACTAAAAGGTAGAGGGTTACTGCGTTTCCTTCTTTTAAACTGATTGCCATCCAAGGTTAGAGCGCCCAGTCTCCCCTCTTACTTATCCCATATTTAGGGTTGGAGAAGCATTTGTGCAAAAAATGAACGCAGAATGCAAGGCTGAAATTTGAACTCGACTCGCCGATTTCACTTTCTGTGCAGATATCAGTTACACTACCGCAAAACCCGGGAACGTGCGTATCCGATATTATAATGCCTTGTGTTATAATTGTACTCAGGAGACCGGCAAGTAAATACCTATATCATAATAAAGTGTATAATTAAGTGTGTTTATATGCGTATTAGCCATGTGGAAATGTTTCAAATTACTTATGTTGAATTTAAAAAAAGACTGTGTGTAAGTAAGAGAAAGAAAGCATGGATAATCAAAGTACAAAGAAACAGGAAAAATCCGTTGCAGACAAAGAAACGGCAGTGAATATTGGATAATTTCCTCACAAATGAAGAGAAGACAACCGAGATGTGGTTCTACAGAAGGATGCTGACAACATCGCAGACCGAGGGTGCGTAAGCAACGGAAAAATCTTGAGGAAAAAAAAAAAAAAAAAAAAAAAAAAAAAAAAAAAAAATGGCACTTACACTCAAAGTGACAACTGAAATCTAAAAAACACAGTGAGGATGGAGGGATTCGAGAATTTGACACTCACAGGACATATCGAAGACAAGAGACAAGAGGTGCAGCGAGGCACTTACCTGATCAAGCTTGTGTGAATGGATAGCGGAACGGGGGAAGAGATGTAAAAAAAGAGACAAATTTGCTAAGACCCACAAGGGATAGGAAAATGTGGAGAGCTATGATCTCCCACGTCCTGAATGGACGCAACACATACAGAAGATCAATATCTGGAATAAAACAGCAACAGTCTGATAATGTTTTGTGTAAATGAATGGCAGAACAATCATTGGGAGGGACAGTAAGAGGGGGGGGGTCAAATATTACTTAGTGCTACAAAGGATAGGAAAATGTGGAGAGCCATGATCGCCCCCTCCTTCGTGTCCCGGACAGATGCAGCACATAAAAGTTGGGTACCTAGTGAGGATCGAACTTACTACACTAATAAACTAGTTTCTTCTGCGAGTTGCCTAACGATAGCACTATGATGACCATCATTTAACTGTAACACGATTACGGAAAGTGATCAAAGTCTAACGCAATTATAAGCTGGATTTTCATTCTGCGTGGTTCACCATTGGATTAAGTGCATTGACATGGAAAAATATTCAATATTTTACGGCCTATCAACATTTTAAAGGTTATTCAAATCCCCAAAATTGTTTTAGATTGAAATAATTTGGGTCTTCATAATAAGGATTCACTGATACGAGTCCTAATTAACGATAGTTGGCGGGGGAGTGAGGGGAAAGGAATGGGTTCATACTTTTCCCCAAGAGTATTTGCGCGTAAGTGAATATAATGAAACCGGCTCTGATTTCCAATTTCAAACAGTTATCACCCGGACATCCAAGCTTAAAATACCTAGTATTCCCAAGCGGTGACCCATCTAGGTACTGACTAGGGTCGACGTTGCTTAACTTCGGTGATCGCACGAAAACGAATGTTTCAACGTGATATGGCCGTAAGTCAAGTGTAATATTACTTTTTTTTTTGTCCAATATGTACTGACTTATTTATTGGCAAAATAGCACGTGAAAAAGTCGTGTGGATTCTCTTTCAGTACGGGGTCTGTCTGAAAAGTAACGGGACTGGTGTCAAACTATTTATTAAAAAAAAGCAACAAAGTAATCCACCTCGAGTCCAATGCACTTTCTCTGCCACGTTTCTATGCCCTGCTGGAAGGATTTTTTTGGGGGGATGCCCCTCAGTTCCGTTACCGCCCTCTTGATGATCCCCTTGAGCTTAAGGGAAAAGAAAAAAGTCACACGGAGCAAGATAAAGTGAATAGGGAGGTTGTCCTCGTACGGGGATGTTGCTCTTGATCAGGGCATTGTGAGCAGGTGCATTGTCGTGGTGAAGCAGCCACAATTTGTCCTGCCACAACTCTCATCTCTTCTTGCGCACCGAGCAAAGCAAACGCCGCAGAATCTCTTTATAAACTTAGAAAATTATTGTCTGGCCCTGCGGTAAGAACTTACTGTGGATGATGCCCATTGCTCACACAAGCACACCCAATTCTATTACTTTTCAGACAGATCTTCGTATATGCAAGTAAATGTAGAAATACTGTATCAAAATGAGGTGGTTCGCCTTGTAATTGAATTTCTTCCCTTATACTCTATTAAGCATTACACGCGACATTGGTGATTGAAAAAGAAAAAAAAAACATTGTTATTAATCTCATTTTAATTAAATAAACGATTTTATCATATTTTTCTTTTCCATTCAATAGTTTTGGTCAAACAAATACAATTTACTTTAAATATTGATCCCATTTTTCCTTCTGACAAATATTTCTTTATCACCGACAGCAATAAAAAAAATGACGTATTTGTTTCTTACAAAGTTGACCCTTTCAAGATTCCGAAGTTTTTTGTTTGTTTCGTTTTTTTGTCTTTAAGAAACTAGACTTTTATTCTAAGAATCTTTCCGTTAACAATCTTCAAATGTTTCCGTTTCTCTTGAATTTTTATTATTATTATCAAGAAACGTTGAACTGTTTCATTTACTCTCACGTCAGTTACGATAATTTCCGGAATTAAAAATAATTTATTTGGATAATTACATATAATTATATTTGATTGCTGATTCATTAGTAGAAAGTGAATCGATTGAAGCTATTTGTAAACTGGACACCAATGACCCAAAAAATAATGGCTAATTAGGAAATCTCCGATAGAAAGAGGGAAAAAAAGTAGAGTCTCTTCTGCCTTATACATAGAATACGTCAATAACGTTTCTATGTGCATGCATAGCCAGACAAAAAATTGCATATATTAAAAATATCTACCATATGAATAGGAGTAAGCTTGGATGAGAATTCAGTGAAATAGTAAGTATATAATACAATGTGGAAAATTATTTACTTTGAGATGTTTCGCCTATGAACCAGCGTCTTCAAAAAAAAAAAAAATCTACAAGAGCAAGATAAAATGTGGTTCACGATAAACGAGGCAAAACGTGATTCGCGTTAAGCGTTGAAACGCTCGATTTTTACTTTCTCGTAAAAATTAGATTTTAAATAAATTTTACCTTTTTCTTTTTTTCATAATATGGATTAAGTCCGGTAAATGTAATTTACTTAAATGAATTGTATCTCTTATAATAACAAATAAACAGAATATATAAGTAAATTATATTATTTTAATATAGAAATTATATAAAGATTATATATAAAGGAAGCACATATATTTCAGTCAGTTATGTGCCATGCGTGATACACGCTTATGCGATCATGTATCTTTCAATACATGACTGACGAGGCAGATTTTTCCCGCAGCAGGTTGCCATTTCTTTCTGCGGTAGACCAGTTACCATCCAAGGCTATAGAACCCGGCCTATCCTGCTATTTACCCATAGCTGGTGGGAGAAGAGGATTCATACCATTTCCAAGGGTATTAGCACGTAAGTGAATGTAATTGATTCGACTGGAATTCGAACTCGGCCCTCCAATTCCTCAATCGGACCGTGCCTCCTCTCATACATATATATATATATATATATATATATATATATGAATAAATAAAGTAAATTAAGAGTAAACGGGGTCCATGCGTTAAAAAAAAAAAAAAAAAATTAAAAAATAAATAAAAAAGGTTGAGAAACAATGATCTAGATAAACAAGGCGCTAAAATAAATTTTAAAAAGTCAATGTGAATCTTCTGCGTTTTTCTACGTCGAATTCTAACCGACATTTCTTCTATTTCACACTCCTTAAGAAAAGCTGTAGTAGTGTGAAGAAGTCTTTCTAAAGGATGAAACGGGGTATTTTTTCATTTTGCCATTCAATTACATATATTGGGGGGGATTCTGTTAAAAAAAAAAAAAGGTACAAAACCTAAATATATCTTGAAAAAGCAGAGACTGTGATTAACTGTTAAAAGGAAAAGTTAATACTATTCCTCTTAAGTGCCCAACTTTTCTATCAACTCATCAGAGAGGATATTTGATAAATTTTTGAGACCTTTTTTTCTCGCTAGAATCCATCTAGCACATTTATAAATCTACCATTCATCAGTGTTTTTAATATTACTGCCATATCTGGTCTGATGCTCCTGTTATATATCTCGAGGTACTCGACAAAATCCACAGAAAAGTCTGCAATGGTATCGACCCTGACCTGGCATCTCTACTTCAGTCACTTTCCCACCGCCGTGACGTGGCTCCCATCTGCCTTTTCTATAAATATTTTCATGACTATTGTTGTAATGAACTATCTTCCTTGGTACTATAACCGCATGAATTTAGTTGGCAATCTAGTAAGTCCCATCATTTTACTGTTGAAATAGCAAGATGTAACCATAAGTTACATTCTAAAGGGTTTCTTTTCTCGCTTATGGCACTTTTCTTCGAGCTTCTTGCGTCGCTTCTATCTATGATCTTCAAAAATTTAAATGCAACGTCAATAATAATTTTCTGTCTTCTTGAAACCTTTTTTTAATTGTCCTTTCTCCTCACTAAAGTTCTATTCTCTTTCACTCAATAACCCCCTTGCAATTTAGTGACTTCATCGCCTTGATTGAGGTGAAATGATTAAAAATCATGAAAACAGAATTACCAATAAAAGCGAGAATAGACAGGTTAAAAGTAGACTTTATCTGTTCTCACACAAAGGGTCAAAAAGAAATGAAACATTTGGCTCGTCGGCATAACCAAAGTTGGTCAACTGTTTCCTCCGGTGTTGATTTGTTGTTGGCTGTTTTTTGTGACACTTCAAAAATGTCTACTGTTAAACTCTTACTAAGTTTTTAGTGGTAATTGTTTTATAGTTTAAGATTTTAAAACCTATCAGCTCTACTTTTGATAACTGGCCACTTTAGAGAAATTATGCCACCTGTTTGATTTCACACTAAATTTCACCATGTCCGCACCTGTTCAAACTAAATATGAGCATATACACACTTTCCTACGTCCCCAAAGAGCCCCCTATATAAAAATTGTTGAATTTGTCTTTGAACACAGATTTTTAGTTTGCAGATTAAGGATTGGTAATGTTGTGAGTGCGCACACACACACTATATAAAACCTCCACAGATTAAACATGGTTTTGCCGAAAGAAGAAAAGAATTGAGGTGTACTCAAGGAAAATCACAGATGCCGCACACTTGATTGAAACGCATAAAGAGTGAATGTGCTAAAATTGACGGCAAAGTGGATTTATTGCCTAGAGTTCACGTGAATTTTACAAAGCGCATCAAATCATACGAAAGATGTTATTTGTTAACATTCCAATGCAATAAAATGTTGCTGAAAAATATGCGTTTTTGCCTATGTGTTCAGATTTTACGGACACCATGTCTCTCTATATATATATATATATATATATATATATATATATATATATATATATATACACACACACACACACACAAAAGAGAGAGTGTGTGTGTGTGTGTGTGTGTGTGAATGAGAGATCTGAAACCTCATAATGAAAAGTTATGTTTCATTCAAAGTTTTATTTTTCAAGACAATTCCCTTGTCAGTACACTTAACACAACTTCTCCGTTAGTCTCATCCATCTTGCTTTATACACGGCATATTTGAGATCAGATTTCAGCTAATAGTGTGTGCCAATCTACGGAATTATTTCTCCACTAGTGTATACCTAGGCAGGTGGTGTGGACAAAAAACATTATCCGGATTCGTGGATTTTCTTGGGATTTTTAGAATCCTTACATAAAAGTCAGCGGTCAGTAACTTAAAGTAGTGAGACCACTGAAATATCTTGACTTGGTTATCTGTGGAGTGTGCTCCAGAATATAAATAATTACAAGAGCATCACAAACAGTGGCGGCTGTCGCAAAGCTAAAATCATCTCGAAAGACAAGAACATCTGCCTGAAATTAAAGTTACATTCATTGATCTTTTTTTTCTTTTTAAGCAATTTACCCCATGCAAGGCAGGGACAAGGGATTACAGAGGATTGAAAACAAGAGTAAAGAGGGCATGTTTGGGGAAAGGATACAGAGAAGGACGAGGAACAAGACAATCTTTCTGTATGCCTGCGAACCTTGGACATTAACAGAAGAATTACGGCGAAGAATCCAAACATTAGAAATGAGATGTTACAAAATCATCCGAGGCATCTCCTATATTGACAGCATCACAAATCGGGCAGTGAGAGAAACAATCAGATAAGAAACATGCCCATTGAAAGACCTTGTAACCACCGTCGAAGAAGAGAAAATTGAAATGGTATGGACACGTCACATTAGGGGGATGTCGATTTTGGAATCCTGGTATTGCGGTCAATTTGAAAGTTGGGGTTTGACATAACGACAGAAAATATTTTTCCACCAAATCGTTTTTCTCGTGTAAACGAGTTTAAAGATTACACTTAGGTTGGAATTTCTTTCCGGTGATCGATTAAAACAGCCTTACAAAATTTATAATTTTCTGAAGCTTTACAAATTGTTTATGAACAAAATGTACGGCACAAGCACATTATTACTAAACCATTGTGCCA